CCCCCGATTAAATTTTAAAAATATTTTTGAAGGAATGAAAAAATCCGATTGGCAATAGCTAACTCAGGATCCATCAGGTGCAGTACAATAGCAATACAATAACAGAATACAATAACAGTACAGTAACAGTACAATAACAGTACAGTGACAGTACAATAACAGTACAGTAACAGTACAATACCAGTAAAAACAGTACAAACAATACAAGTACAGCAACAGTACAATAGCAGTACAATAACGTACAATAACAATACAATAGCAGTACAATAACAGTACAACAGCAGTACAATAACAGTTCAATAATAGTACAGTAACAATACAATTGCAGTACAATAATAGTACAAAAGCAGTACAATAGCAGTACAATAACAGAACATTCGCTTTACAATAATAGTACAATAGCAGCACAATAACAGTACACTAACAGTACAGAAATAGTACAATAACAGTACAATAGCAGTACAACAGCAGTGCAGTACAATCATAGTACAATTGCATTACAATAACAGTACAATAGCAGTAGAATAATACAGCAACAGTACATTGAGAGTACAATAGCAGTAAAATAGCAGTACAATAGCAGTAAAAAAGCAGTACAATTGCAGTTAAATAACAGTACAATAACAGTACAATAACAGTACAAAAGAAGTATAAAAGCAGTACAATAGCAGTACAAAAGCAGTACAATAGCAGTACAATAACAGCATGATAACTGTAAAATAAGGAACAATAACAGTACATAACAGTAAAGTGACAGTACAATAGCAGTACAATCAGAGTACAATAACAGGATAATAAAAGTGCAATAACAGTACAATAACAATACAATAACAGTACCATAACAGTACCATAACAGTACCATAACACTACAATAACGTTATAATAACAGTCCAAAACAGTACAGTAGCAGTAAAATAGCATTACAATAACAGTAAAATAGCAGTATATTATCAGTACATTATCAGTACATTACCAGAACAAAAACTGCAGTACAATAGCAGTAGAATATATGCTGCACAATAATAGTACAAAAAAGCAATTCAATAGTACAGAAACAGTAGAATAACAGTATAATAGCAGTACAATAACAGTACAACAAAAGTACAATAACAGTACAATAACAGTACAACAACAGTACAATAACATTACAGTATCAGTACAATAACAGTTCAATAACAGAACCATAAAATACAATAACAGTACAATAACAGTGCAATAGCATCAAAATAGAAGTACAATCATAGTAAAATAACAGTACAATAACAGTACAATAGCAGTACAATACCAGTACAATAACATTACAATAACAGTACAATAGCAGTACAATAGCAGTAAAATAGCAGTACAATAACAGTAAAATAGCAGTACAATAACAGTAAAATAGCAGTACATTACCGAACAAAAACTGCAGTACAATAGCAGTACAATAGCAGTACAATAATAGTACAAAAAACAATTCAAAAGGACAGTAACAGTGGAATAACAGTATAATAGCAGTACCATAACAGTACAATAAAAGTACAATAACAGTACAATAACAGTACAATAACAGTACAATAACAGTTAACAGTTTAATAAATTTACAATAACAGAAAAAAAGCAATTCAATAACATCTTCTTTTACAGAACAGCATTGGAGCCAGGGAATATTACCAAGGTATTAAAATTATGTATTCTTAATAGTTTAAAAAAAAACTATTGCTATTTAATATAACATTGTTTGAGTTTTTATGTCCGCAAATGATATGTATGTATACGTATATGCATAATGCCGTACAATTTTTAATGATTTTCAAAACTTATGTTTGCTTACGCTTTTATTCTTCAACTATGTATATTATTGTTATTATTATTAATTATTATTATTTAAAGGGGGATATCCTGCAAGCGTTTCCATTCCAAAATACTTTCGACCTAGTGACCCTTCCTGGCTCAACCTTGAGGTCAGGAAATTAATAGATTTTAATTTTTAATTATTTATTTAATTTATCAATTACTATTTCTCAGGAAAGTTTTTGAACGTAGCGTAGCGGATCTTTCTCAAAGGAACTTTCTTCATAATGATCCTTTAACAAAGCACACATATAGTCTTATTACATTTTTGACTTGTCCCCTTTTTACTGACATTACTTCACATCACATATTTTTTACATTCTCTACATTTATAAAAGTTTATTTGTATGTGTGAATAATAAAATTAAAAAGTAAAAAAGTTCGAGACTGAGATTTTATGTTTGGTGGGGAGATAAACGTACTTTTACAGATCTGATAAATTTTAAAATTGGATATTTGTTGCTTGTTAGTCAGTTTGAAGAGAAAGTTTGAATATAGGGGACCACATGATAGTGGAGAATTCCTTCAGGTTTCTGGATTCAAACTAATTTACGATCTCAGGTAAAACAAAATGATAAGAACTGAATCCCTATATGTTTGCAACTTAATGGTGTTAACCTTTGATATTTTAAACTTGGACTTTTATATCGTTACCAGAATTCTAGTTTCTAACAACTAATGTCTGCGAAATTAGTCTTCCTAATATCAGAGATTGAAACTTTTGTGTAAAGCATCTTGAACGGCTGATATCGATATCAACCGTAGATTTGTGAATAAAAGCTTGATCCCTCAATTAAGTTATCCCTGCAGGGTATTACCACCTCACCAAGTAGGTTTGCAGAAGATGGAGATCATTGATCCCGAGATTCAAAATTTGTTCACTGATTTCGACGGAATTGTGTTTTTATAAATAATTGTAATTGTTGTTTTATTTTTATGATCTTTTCCTGGCTCTTTAACAATATTTAATAATTTCTCAACACCTTACTTAGGGACTGTATAAGCATAATTTCAAGTGACCCTCTATGCAAAGATGGCAATGGTCCCTTGTCTGGTCAATAATGTGGAAGATATTATCATTTTTTTCTATAAGTTTAAAAGTATTTAATTCTGACAATACCTATATCTTTTCCTGCAGTAGAAATGCGCAAGTCACTTTTGTTGAGAATCCAAAATTGAAACTAACCAGTGTTCAAACTTATAAACATTGATAGCTAGATAAAACATACTTGATCAGACACAGGGTACCGTTGTAAATCAGGCTTTGCTATCTCTCCATGGAGGGTCACTTGAAATTATGATTACAGTCCCTTTAAGCTTGAATGTATAAGTTGAACCACTGTTTGAATTGAACTGTATTTATAGAATTCCAACTAAGTATGAATTTTCTCTAGGTTATCTCCAGGTTCTAGATTGGTAGAGGCCCAGGTCCAGAGTTCAGATAAAGGATATGAGAGGTTGAAGGACGGACAGGAATATCATGTTGTAATGTCGGATTATATTTCACGAGGTACAATTATTCATTTTATAATAAAATATCAACTGTGTACAAATGAATCGAATTAAGTTCGACATTTATAGGTTGTAATATCTCAATTAATTTCAAATTCAATTTAACTATTTTATCTTATTAAACAATGCAACTCCGTGAATTTGTTTGCGTCCTACGTTCTCAGGTATGAGTCGTTTTTAACACTTTTCTTATTATTACTATATTATATAGATTTATTCACACACAAAGATATAAATACATATATAAATGGTGTAGTTTAAATTTGTTTAAATAAATTTTTGAAAATACAGGTTTCCAAAAAGAAAAGAGAAAAATATGCAAAAGTATGCACAAGTAGACGACATTGATCATTACTCATTACATAACATATTTATCATTTCATTTATTACGTAATCATCGAATCCTTCAACATATAAATTATTCGTTCTTGTATTTAAAAGTTCTTGTAAAACCGGAACTTCTCATGCATGGTCCAATGGGACATCAAAATATTTCATTTGTTTCTTAACTAACATTTTACTAAGATCCGAAGGATTTACAGAACAATCATTTGCAATAGAAAATAGATTTCTGCCAAGAACTGATGTGTTATGGTCATTTTTATATACGCAACAGATAGAAGTAAAGTTAGCAGCGACCAATATCGAATTCGATTCGATATAATTTTTCCCGAACACTCCCTTAAAGGACATAGGTCTTTTTTATCCGAATCAAGACTAAATCTACCTCCTAGATGCTACACTGCAGAGCTAGGTGCGACATGACGAAAAAAGTTTACGGGACGATTATTCTGGGTAAAAAATATGGAATAATTATCCCGTAAACCTTTTCCTACATGTCACACTAGTCCAAAGTGACACCTAATCCTGGCCCCTGTGGAGCATCTGTAAGGGGGTAGACTTATTTGGAAATTGGTTAAGGAAGGTTTCGCTCACAACTTTCAAAAGTTTTCAAGGGTTTAACATTCTCATCAGCTTCAGTAAAGGGATTGTTCATATTCATCTGGAAACAAATCAGAAACACTAACCAACCCTACCCTACACTATATTTTAGGATCTAGCTCCAGGTACTTTCTAGTCTAGCTGCTTAGATATTCTTATCTTTCTCATATTTTAGGAGGAGACGGATACAAGATGATCAAAGAGGAGAAACTAAACCAAAGACAGGGATTTCTGGATTTTGATCAAATCTTAACTTATCTGAAACTATTCTCCCCTGTATCCCCTAGAATTCAGGTGAATATTCTCCCCTGTATCCTCTAGAATTCAGGTTAATATTCTCCTCTGTATCCTCTAGAATTCAGGTTAATATTCTCCCATGTATCCTCTAGAATTCAGGTTAATATTCTCCCCTGTATCCTCTAGAATTCAGGTTAATATTCTCCCCTGTATCCTCTAGAATTCAGGTTAATATTCTCCCATGTATCCTCTAGAATTCAGGTGAATATTCTCCCCTGTATCCTCTAGAACTCAGGTTAACATTCTCCCCTGTATCCTCTATAATTCAGGTGAATATTCTCCCCTGTATCCTCTATAATTCAGGTGAATATTCTCCCCTGTATCCTCTAGAATTCAGTTTAACATTTGACAGGTTATCGAGCAAGGACAGGGAACTCAGTGTGTTTAGAGTAAGGGAAGGCACACCACACCATTTTTTCTTCCGCACCACAAATGCCGTCACAATGAACCATTATTTCTTCCGACCACACGCAACAACAAAAAATACAACTCGTAATTTTGGAAAACGTCAATGAACTGACTACCCCCAAACGAATTAAGTGATAAAAATAGAAATAATTTCCCAAAAATCAGCTCTTTGAATATATATATTTTTTTCAGGGTAGAATTGTAATGAAAGGAGAGATACCTGAAGAACCTGCAAGTACAAATGATGCAAATGGAAATCGGTAAACAAATATTTCATATCATTTTTTAAAATGGAAATTTACATTGTCGAAAAAAATTTTAAGATTGATTTATTTTACTTTAGGGTTCTGTCTGAGACCTTGATTCAGATCTGCTTTGTTATTAGCAATATATTCTTACTTAGTTAATCAGTATTGTTATTAGCAATATATTCTTACTTAGTTAATTGCAATATATTCTTACTTAGTTAATCAGTATTGTTATTAGCAATATATTCTTACTTAGTTAATCAGTATTGTTATTAGCAATCTATTCTTACTTAGTTAATAAGTATTGTTATTTGCAATATATTCTTACTTAGTTAATCAGTATTGTTATTAGCAATCTATTCTTACTTAGTTAATAAGTATTGTTATTTGCAATATATTCTTACTCCGTTAATAAATATTGATTGTAGCAATATATTCTCTCAGTTAATAAATATTATTAGCAATATATTCTTACTCAGTTAATAAATATTGATTGTAGCAATACATTCTCTCAGTTAATAAATATTATTAGCAATTTATTCTTACTCAGTTGCTAAATATTGATTTTAGCAATATATTCTTACTCGGTTGATAAATATTGATATTTGCAATATATTTTTACTCAGTTAATAAATATTGATATTTGCAATATATTCTTACTAAGTTAGTAAATATTGATATTAGCAATACATTCTTACCCAGTTAATAAATATTGATATTAGCAATATATTCTTACTCATTTTATAAATATTGTAATTAGCAATATATTCTTACTCAGTTTATAAATATTGTAATTAGCAATATATTGTTTCTCAGTTAATAAGTATTGTTATTTGCAATATTCTTACTCAGTTAATAAATATTGATATTTGCAATATATTCTTACTCAGTTAATAAATATTGATATTAGCAATACATTCTTACTCAGTTAATAAATATTGTTTTAAGCAATACTTTCTTACTTATAACAAAACTATTGTTTTTAGCAATATATTCTTACTTTGTTAACAAAGTCGACTTTTAAAATCAAGATTGCACTTTAATTCGTCCTATGTTTAGCAATTGTTTATTTGTAAACAAATCCGCTTTACTTACTATGTGTATAATAACTTCAAATATACAACCATTTGCTTTGAAACATCAGTACTACTTTTATATCATCTTTCATTTCTCTGGTTATCACTGTGACATAATTTTTCTCGATTATTGAATATAGTAACTAACAATACATTGGTAATCTGTTAATAAATATTGTTTCAAGCGAGCGGGGGAAGGCAGCGGCCATGAGCCACCACTATTTCCCCTTCCGTGCCACAAATTAGCTTTTTTCTCTTCAGGCAGTCATGAGCCACCACTATTTCTCCTTCCAGGCCACCACATTAGACCCTTTTTGAGAGCAATACGAATATTAAAAATGATGCAAAATAAAGTACACTTCACACTGCTGAAAATGAACCTTCAGGATTCAAGTCAGAACACCGAATTTTTTTCTTCGGAAGGCTTCTGAGGAGGGAGGGAACCCCCGGACGCACATGAGCCTCCGCTATGCAGACACGAGCCTCCCCAGAGTTGCTAGGCAGACCAAGCCTCCGAGTTGCAGAAATGAGTATGCGCAACACATCAAAATGTGCCTGTGTAATACAGGAGGTTTTTTTAAACGTGTGTTTTAAGTTTATATAAATGATTTTTTTGAAATTTTTAGACACAGTGGCAAGAGAGGCTTCTCAAAGATGATAAGCATTTATTAATTATCATAAATAGTGCCGAATTATTACTAATGAAGTGGTATCTAAAACTTTAAACATTTTTTACGCGAAAAGGAAAATATTTAGAAAAAAAGTTTGAATTAAATTGAATTTCATCTTTTATAATTTTTGATTTTAGCGATACCATTTTTTGAAGTTCAAATTAAATCTTAAAAAATTGTATTTATTATTTAAATCTTAACATTTTTCCAAAAAGGTATAGTTTAAATCAAAGATTACAACAAAACAAACCAAGTTTACTCCAGAAATATTTCTGCGTAAGAAATGTTTAAAGTTTTAATATAAATCTTATAAGCAACTTTTTGAGTCCATATATGTTTCTAATAATGACAATCAATAAATAACTCTAATCTTTAGTAAAATTCTTATGCCACTCAAGAATGTAAGGCAAGGAAAGTTAATTGCGGTTGAGTATACTCTGTGTACATATTGAAACCAGTTCTCTCTGGGCGGAATTTGTAAACAATAATAGATGCATCAGTGTTCGTTTAGTATCCGAGGAGGCTAAAAGCATTAAATTTTGATAATTTTGATAATTCACTTAATAATTTCCTATGACCAGAATATTTCATTGATTTTTTATGTGAATGATGGATCCCATGTCAGGCTTCGACATCCGTCTTGTGTTTACATTAGCGTCCAGAGACAGTACACTGCAGTACTAAAGATGTGTACACTTCTGAAATGACTTTCCTTGCCTTACATCCTTGATGCCACTCGTCAAAAAAAATATTGAAAGTTTTCATCACTCAAAAAAGCTGTGCTGTATGGTGGAGGCTCGCTTACTGCATAGAATAGGCACGGTTTGCATAGCGTAGGCTTTGTCTGCATAGTGGAGGCTCGGTCTGCCTCGCGAATCTGGGAGGCTCGATGTCTGCATAGCAGAGGCTCATGGCGTCCGAGGGTTCCCTCCCTATTCTGAGTTATAATCTCAGAAAATGCCACCTAGGGAATTTTAATTAAATCCATTTAAGAAATTGTAAAAATCAAGTGCATTTTAAAGTCTAAACTCAATCGTAAGTGCAGGTTCAAGGATTAATCAAGATTAATCTGTGTTTTTTGTAATATTTTTAGACCCCTCAACGGGTTCCCAAATTTTGTGAATTTTCCTTAACAAAGACATGTTTTAGCCAAAAAAATCAAAGCCTTAGTGAACTATATACTGAATAGTTGCCCAATTACTGTTTAAAAAAAGACTTTGAAGTAAAATCAGTAAACTTACATCGGGCCGCATTTTGACAGTCAGGCAGTTGACTAAGGGGTTCGAGTTTTTGCTACAAGTTTCATGACTGTTAAAGAAAAATAAAAAAATTTGGATAACAGTCATATACTGTTAAAAAAAAACCAGAAGATGCAGATTAAAGTCTTGAAACGAAATGTTTGTTAAATTTGAGACCTTCGAGTGCACTTGATTTCGACAATTTCTTAAACTTACCTAGGTGGCATTTTCTGAAAATTGAGAATAAAACTCAGAAGCCTGCGTTTAAACAAAATCCGAAGAAAAAGGTGTTTTGACTTGAAACCTGATGAGTCCATTTTCAGCAGTGTGCCTTGTGTGAAAATTTGCTGAGTGCAAGGAGAAAATTGCTTAGTTTTTTTTTGATGTAAGGTGCAATGAAAGCTAAATACTGCGATTTTCACATTATTTTCTTATTCTTCAAACTGCTCGGGACAATTTTTCTCTGCTCCCACAATAGGAAAAATGACCTAATTTACCTGTTTAAATGTAAAACAAACGACCTCTTATCTGTATGTTAATATATTGATCTTATGTACAATTGAATAAATGGTTTGAATTGAACTTTGCAGGTCGTAAATTTACCATTTGAAAAAGTAGTTTGCCCGGAAGTCAAATGAGATGGCCAGGAAGAGGAAATAAAGGCGGCTCAAGGCGGCCGAAATAGAAAAAAAAACTAATCTGGCACGGAAGGGTAAACGCAGGTGGGTTGTGGCCGCCTACCTTCCCCCGCTCCCTTAAGAATATGTTAATTTTAAATAATATAACCATGTAAAGCTTCAGTAGAACTTCAATACGCAACTTCGTCAATGAAGCTTTTCAGAATTTCATTCCAAAGTTTTCACTTTAAGAATTTTTCAAGTTATTAAAAAAAATAAGATTTTCGACCGAACTTGACAGTAAATTAAGTTTTGGTTCAATTACCGTACCACTGAACTACATGAAATAAAAATTTAACTGTTAAACTGAATTAAATCTTCCAAGAATATCTGAAGGTCTGTTGAGCACTTTCGTTAATTTTAAGATCCTGAGAAAAGATTTCACCAGTTTTAACAAAATGTTTCTCGACTAGATATACATAAGTAACAGTTCAACTTTTGTCATTAAACATTGACGAAATTAAGGATGTACACGTGTGAATAAGAAACTATTTAAACTTCTCGTGATCAAAATCACTTAACTTAAAATTTTTGGGCCGAGCGCAAACACTTGAAGTCAAGATAGGCCAACAGTTGCATGGTCTGAAAATATTTAGTACACTATCAACCTCTACTCTTTTCTGTATTGCAGGAAAAAAACGACAAATAAATATCATGCTATACTTTATTGAATTTGCTAGTTGGATTGAAACAAATGAATTTTAGAAATGCCGTGAATTTTATCCTCTGTCGTAGAATCAAGTATACATGGTTTAATCAACTTCCTCAATAGTGGGTCCAGCACCTCCAGCACTGCTAGGGGCCTCACCACCTCCCATACCTCCCATATCAGGCATACCTGGACATACTAAAGTTAGATAAGAGCATACAAGATCTTACAATGATTAGGAAAATAAAGTTTTCAGTGTTAAAAAGCTCGATTGTGTAGCATCAGCAGATTCAGAGTTGGATATCGTATTTCATCATTTCATCATTTCATCAGAATATCATAAGTTTCGAAATGAAAATTTGCTCTTTAAGCAAGCAATTAGATCAGTATTATTAGATAAGAAAAGCCAGATAAGTTTTATACTTAAGGCGTAAATTATAAAAATTAATTCGTAAATTTTCAGTCAGTGGACGAAAAAACCCATATGTATAATTGGAAGGAAACTCTGTAAATATATGAACCGCTAATAAATTTCGTACCTCCTGGCATACCTCCGGCTCCCTGGTAAAGCTTGGTGATAATAGGATTACATACAGCCTCAACCTCCTTCTGCTGAGCAGTAAACTCCTCAACCTAAATATTTTAAGTATAACAATTGCCTGTGAACCACGTGGAATATTACAGATTTGATATTTAGTGAAGACAAGATTCAAAATATATTTGAAGTGACCCATCTTCAAGACGACACAAAGATTAGGTCAGTGTTAATATTTTTTAATATTTTCTCCTTCATCAAAATAAATAATTAAGGTTAAAAAATTGAGAGAATTTCTTCCCAAGGGAAAATTTAAAAAAGAGTAAAAATGAAACACTTGAACCTAAACGAACAACCAAATTTTCTACGTTATTAATATTTCCTAAGGTACCATTGCGAATCCGACATTGCAATCATAGCCTAAATGATATCTAATAATTTCTACCTCGGCGAGCTGGTTGGCATCCAACCACTTGATGGCCTCCTCACACTTGTCATTGATCTTCTTACGATCATCCTCGGAGATTTTGTCCTTCATCTTTTCATCCTCGATGGTGGTCTTCATGTTGAAGCAGTAGGACTCAAGTCCGTTCTTAGCAGAGATTCTCTCCTTCTGCTTCTCGTCATCTGCCTTGAACTTCTCGGCGTCGTTGACCATACGCTCAATCTCCTCCTTGGACAGACGGCCCTGGGAACAAAAGGAAATAAAAAAATTATATAAAAAATAAAATTGGTTTAATCTGATAAAAATCTCAGGGTTAAAAAGCTCTTGGGTAACATCAGAAGTCAGCGTTGGATTCGTTGATCATCACAGGAGATTTATAAGAGGTGCAAATCTTTCATGGTTTGATTTAAACAATCTTGTTGAAAAAAATTGTGCACCTCTTTTGTGTTAAATATTAACTGTACCTTGTCGTTGGTGATGGTAATCTTATTCTGCTTTCCGGTAGACTTGTCACAAGCAGACACGTTCAGGATACCGTTAGCATCAATGTCGAAGGTGACCTCGATCTGAGGAACACCACGGGGTGCTGGAGGGATTCCAGTCAGATCAAATTTTCCAAGAAGATGGTTATCCTTGGTCATAGCTCTCTCTCCCTCGTACACCTGGATGGTGACAGCAGGCTGGTTATCACTGTAGGTGGTGAAGGTCTGGGTCTGCTTAGTGGGGATGGTGGTGTTCCTCTTGATGAGGGAGGTCATGACACCTCCGGCAGTCTCAATACCGAGAGACAGAGGGGCAACGTCGAGGAGGAGAAGGTCGGAGACAGCCTCGCTAGTATCTCCAGTGAGGATAGCAGCCTGAACAGCAGCTCCGTAAGCAACAGCCTCGTCAGGGTTGATGCTCTTGTTAAGCTCCTTACCATTGAAAAAGTCCTGGAGCAGCTTCTGGATCTTGGGAATCCTAGTGGAGCCACCGACAAGAACGATGTCGTTGATGGAAGATTTGTCCATCTTAGCATCCCTCATAGCCTTCTCGACAGGCTCCAGGGTTCCCTTAAACAGGTCGGAGCACAGCTCCTCGAACCTAGCTCTGGTGATGGAGGTGTAGAAATCAATTCCCTCGAAGAGAGAATCGATCTCAATGTTGGCCTGAGCACTGGCAGAGAGAGTCCTCTTCGCTCTCTCGCAAGCAGTTCTCAGCCTTCTCAGTGCTCTCTTGTTCCCCTTGATGTCCTTCTTGTGCTTCCTCTTGAACTCATTAACGAAATGATCCACCATACGGTTGTCGAAGTCCTCTCCTCCAAGATGAGTATCTCCGGCAGTAGACTTAACTTCGAAGATACCCTCCTCGATGGTAAGAATGGAAACATCGAAGGTTCCACCGCCAAGATCGAAGATGAGAACGTTGCACTCGGCGGCACCCTTCTTTTTGTCCAATCCGTAGGCGATGGCGGCGGCGGTGGGTTCGTTTATAATACGGAGCACATTCAACCCTGAGATGACACCAGCATCCTTAACAATAAACAAATTACATTCTAAAGCAACATTGCGTATTAAGAGTTTACTAAGTGATCAATGAAGAATTTAGGCCAATTTCTCAATCGAGTTACACTGGGTAACTTGGAATTAACTCCAGAGTTAACCTAGTTCCAATTTCTTGGACCCGCAATATCCTGGGTTACGATCGACTCTAGAGTAAAACTACACGGAGTTTAACCCAGAGTAGAATGCACAACTGAGACCAGAAAATAATAGAAGATGATTGCATAGTTTAGAAAAGCGAAATATTATATTTTCGATAAAATGTTAACAAAATGATGGATCACTTTGAAAAAAATTGAGTTTAAGGAGGGAATTGTTCTTTTTACCTATCTATTACTTCGACAAAATTGATGTCTGAATATATTTGTTGTTGTGATAAAAAAAAGTGTTTTCTTCATCCATTTCACAAAAATAAATTTATTTGCACCTAAATAAAGCAATAATCCCAAATTCAGCAAATAAACACTCCCCTTTTTCTTCAGCGAGTTGAGTAAAAAAAATTACGAAACATTGCATACCTTGGTGGCTTGTCTCTGGGAATCGTTGAAGTATGCAGGGACAGTTACAACAGCGTCCTTCACGTCAACCCCTAGGTATGCCTCGGCAGTCTCCTTCATCTTGGTAAGCACCATACTGCTCACCTCCTCGGGGGTAAAGGTCTTCTTCTCGTTCTTGTACTCTACCTAAACATTTAGAATGTTAAAACCACTCATTTAAAACGATAAAACCTTAACAATGAGCGTTTTAAAAATCTTTTGAAAATGACCAAATTTTACAAGAAGAAATCAGTAAACCAAATAAGATAAAGGTTTATACATTAAAGATCTTTCCAGACCGCGCGCAGCGGCTATAACAGGTCAGGGGACCAGACGATGCTGTCACACGACATAACAAAATTGACGAGGGTACGGAATTTTGGCTACTAAACGTTCTTCGCTACACCATTTATACTAGGAAATCAAACTGTTATCACTAAATATAAATACACATGAATAAAAAAGAAAACTTGCCTCAAGCTTGGGCTTTCCGCCGACATTGACAACATCGAAGGGCCAGTGCTTCATGTCGCTCTGGACGGTGGCGTCGGAGAAGTCTCTGCCGATCAGCCTCTTGGCGTCGAAGATTGTGTTGCTGGGGTTGATGGCGACCTGGTTCTTGGCTGGGTCTCCGATCAATCTCTCAGTGTCGGTGAATGCAACATAGGAGGGGGTGGTTCGGTTACCTTGGTCATTGGCGATAATCTCAACCTAAAAAAAATAAAATAATTGCAAGATAAAGAGAAATATAGTTTCTAATGTAATAAAATCCGGTTTCATTGTTGAACAGTTTAAAGTTTATCGACTGATTTGTTGGAACTACTATAGACATCCCGTCATATCCTGTAGTTCAAATAACACAATATTTGCCCATAGGGATTGAAGTATAAGATTTCCACAAAAAATATTCTAATGAACATTTAGTCCGACAAACTACTAAGACGAGCGCTGCGGCTGGCAGTTAAAATTTTTGAAGTTCCTGTAAACTTCACATTTAGACAATAAGGTTTATTTCAGACTTTTGGGTCTGTCTAAGTAATTTAGACTCCCCTTCTAACAAAAATTTTAAAGACCACTAATTTCAGCAAAAATCTTGTTATTTACTTTTGGAATTTTAAGTTAAGTTTGGTTTGGACAATTTCTGGGCCAAGCGCTGCGGCTAGGGAGCCGAGTGCCGTGGCTAAGAAAGACTAGGGGACCGCATCATGCTGCCACATGGTCGGTTAAATCCATCTTACATACAAGATCTATGTACAATATAAATAGGCGGGGGACCAAAAATCATATACTAGGAATATACCGTTAGGATAGCACCAATTACTTAATAAAGTCACCTATAGTGCCCCCCCCCCCTTCAACAAAAAAAGGTATCTTTCAGCGATTTTAAATGAAATGGTTACAGGTGAAAAACTTTAGAATTAAGGTTTCAGGATTATAAAAATTAGTCACTCAAAACAGAACTACAACCATTAAGATGCTTAAAAACAAATTAAAATGATAAAATTTACCTTTCCATGTTGGAACACTCCAACACAAGAATAAGTTGTTCCAAGATCGATTCCTACGGCAACTTTCTTGGCCATTTTCAGTTAGTAGATTTACAAACGCTGTGTATTGGATGGAAGTTGATAAGAGAAGAACGATTTGCAATCGATCACGTGATACAAAGACCGGACCAGAGCCAGGCCAAGCCTTTCCTTATCCGGCTACTGGGATCGTTCAGTTATTTCTATTAATCTAAAAAAAAAATTATAATTCATGAATAATTTTATGAAAAAGATAGAGAAAAGATTGTTTTCTAAAATAACGTTGAATGAGAAAATAATTTTTTTGTTGAATAGTTGGTTATATTTTTATGAATTTCTCCATGACGTCAGACCCCGGTTTCTTCTTTCATGATTTCCAGAATGTTCCACAATATTCTAACGCGGGAAAATATTGATTAAGTACACGGATAGTGTATTTTTCGACCTACGCAAATCTGCTATACTCCACTTCTGACCTACGCTAAATCCGCTATATTAAACATCCGACCTACTCGAACGTGTTTTTTTTTTGCTGTGTATACTGTATACCTCGAATGCAATATGAATAGGATCCCCTAGCTAATGAACTACCTCGACCTACTATAACTTTCCGATCTACTGCAATATAAGACCCATTACAGCCATGTTTTATTTTGTACTATTTGAGGGTTAGGTTAGGTAAGAACGATTTCTGGACCGAGCGCTGCGGCTAGGACAGCTAGGCAAGGGGGCTGATCCGTGGGCCAGCTGTGCTGAAACCACATATGTAACATGCAACCTACATCTGTAAAATCATGTGCTTAGGTCGGAATAGCAGCGTAGGTCAGAAGTGGAGTATAGCGGATATGCGTATAGGTCGAAAGATCACCTATATTTTTAGTTCATGGCTAGCAACGACGACATTTAAACCCAATCTCGTGCTTATTATTTGTTAGTCATTTTATCCGTTCGATCAAGTTATGTAGATTATCATACTGCGGAAAAGTACAGTCATGCATATCATCTAGGGGTGTACTCATGAATTTGTCCATGAGTTGGGGCTTAAATATATATATATATTTTTTTTGGGGGGGGGGGTTAAAAGACCTAATTGTGAACCATTAGATTCACTCAATCCAGGGGGGCTGAGCCATTAGCACCCCCCCCCCCCCTAAGTGAGATACTGTACTATTTTGCTTATAATTGCGCGGTAATATCAAAGGCAAGGCAATTTCTGCTTGAAAATTAAAGTTTAAAACAAGTGCTTTATATAATATTGCTAAAATGTACATGTCTAGCTAGTAAGTAAAGTTAAAATTAAATGCTAATTTAGTTGCAACACTTTAATGTCGACCCAGTCTTGAAAGTTGATGCAGCTTTTCATAGCAGACTCTGAGCCCGTTTTCTCCATAATAATGTTTCAACAGGGTAATGTTGCATCGTCTATACGCAACATCCTCTATACTGAACTTCCGACCTACTAACTTTCTGACCTATTGCTATATCCGACCTACGACAGCTGTAGGTCGGTTACACATTTTATTTTTTTAATCCGACCTACAGGCATGATTGAGTTCTAGTCATGTGCATGGAGCGAGGTCAGATGTACATATCTATTTGTAGGTCGGATATACTCTTTTTGTAGGTCGGATCTGTACACTTTTTGTAGGTTGGATGTACTGTTTGTAGGTCGGATGTACACTGTTTGTAGGTCGGATGTACACTTTTTGTAGGTCGGATGTACACTTTTTGTAGGTCGGATGTACNAAATGCATATATCCGACCTACTAAAGTGTAAATCCGACCTACAATTGATGACCATCCGACCTACAAATGCATATGTATCCGACCTACTTAAGTGTAAATCCGACCTACAATCGATGACTATCCGACCTACAAATAATTGTACATCCGACCTACAGTAGGTCGGATCAAACAAAAGTTTTTTGAATTAAGGTGCAACTGACCTATAGTTTAACAGACCTACAGCAGCTAAAAAGCAGCTGGAAAACCACGTGCAAGTAGGTCAGAAGTGTAATATAGAGGATATGCGTAGGTCGAAAAATACACCACCCTATCAGATAAGAATTTTGCGTGAGACATCTAGCGGCCAAACTATCGTCCCCCAAAGTATGTGAACAACACGGCCACTGTTTAAACATTATTATGGAGAGAACGGGCTCTGGATATATGTTAGACGAATAGCTCTTCCAAGTTTAAAATATAGAAGGTTTATTAACACACAGAATTTTGTCACCTTGGACATTCATAATTTAGAATTTGTGTTTCTGTAAAACTTAAATATATAGTTATCATGGTTTATAAAAACAATTGGTATTAGATTCCCGTGATATATTCTCAGTGACGTCTCAGGTTGCAAAGATATATGGATTAGAAAATAGAGTTTGTGCTTGGCCGGTTACTTTAAATTATAAATTATAAAATGTGTCAAGTATATATCCCAATGTTCCCCTTTCAAACACTTTATAAATTATAATATATATACAACATACATTGTTCAAAAAAAAATTTAGCTTTTATTTGAAATACAAAACAAAACGACCAACAAAACCTCATAAGCCTTATTAAGTATAAATAAGTAAGTATATATAGGTAAGATATAGTTATAAAAAGTTATGCATAAAGAGCTAATAGCTATAATATATGACAAAAATCGCGTTAAGAATCCCTTAAACATCTTAGCAAAGACAAATAGAATCTGATACTCCTGATTTGTAAGTGAAATGGAACATGAAGAATGTAGAGGGGGGGGATGACATCACCATTGGTGGGGGAATAAGGAAGGGAAAAATGTATGACTAAGATATTACGCAAGTATCGATCTTTTCTGATCTATCGATTTTTTAAGTCCAAGTTTAAAAGTTTTAATAAACAAATAAATCGAGTTTTTTTCACCTGACAATCGAATTTTAAAATTCTTTTTAAATATCATTATTTTTTTTCAACTGAGATTTTATCCATTTAAGAAGTTTTGGTGTTTAAAAGTTTTAAACAACCCCTTTTCAAAAATATATTTTGGTGCTTTTTTTCTGAATTTTTGTCTTTCAGGGCAACTGAGACAAGCCTTTCACAAGATATTATTTTGATCCAAGCGTCAGCAGAATATGAATAGTTTATTCAAATTTTAATTCTTTATTAAATTTGAAAAAAGCTTTATATAAAATGGATTTTTGTAATGAAGGTTGCGTAATCTTTCATTTAAAATTTTTTACATAATTCAAATAATTAAATGAAATCTTTTTTAGGCCGCACTTTTAAAACATGCATATTAAATAAAAATGATCATTTAGCTTTGTTTATATTTATTCGATTAGGTTTTTTTTGGATGTTTTTGAACATGTATTTGAATTGTGTTGGGAGCTGGAACATTTCGTAAATTCGTATAATGGATATTTAATAGATAACAAAATCATAGATATGGGACATTTATATAGATAAGACAGAACACAGACGAGAGGAAATTTCGTAGACAGGACATTTAAAAGAGGAAAAATTGTATAGACAGGACATTTCACAAGCAGAGAAGAATTTTCATAGATAGTAATCATAGACAGTAAAGCATTTTTTTCAAAAACAATTTAATGTTTTGGGTTTATAAAAAATGTCACGATTCGGAGAAAATGTGATCATTTTAAAATACATATATACTCCGATGAATACATGCATATAAATATTTTGTTTTGTAATGTACGTGTGTCTTAACTAACAAGAAATGTCCTATCTATAAAATGTTTTGCTATAAAATATCTAACACCTTTGAAAATCAAAGAGGTTTTACATATTTTTTATTCCAGAAAATCTTTTTAAGAAATTTAAATTTTTGATGTCATATAAAAGTCCCTGCAGTTCTATAATTACACTTTCTCCAATTGTAAAATTTAAACACAATGCATCAAATGTGCAACTTTCTTTTATATCACATTCATAGATCTTTTAAACACAAAAAATGTTTTGTTTTCCAGTAAAACTTTCCATGGTTTCAGAGCTTGCTGTCAAATATTTGAAGGTTGAGATGAGGGGTGGGGATAATTTGAACAGGGAAGGGGAGGGGATGAAGGATGGGGGGGGGTATGAGATTGTTGTCCCTGATAGATGTTGAGGGTATAAGGTGGGGGTGTAAATGAATAAATAATAAATGTTGATGCAATATTATTGATTATTCATGATTCACATATCAGAAGCTAGAGAGAGAGAGATGTTAATACAAATAATGCACAGAATATTCATAACATATATTGATATTATGTTTACATTTTCATTCCTTAATTCCTTTATTCCTTTACTTCCTCTACCCTTTTCCTCTCTCTACCCTTTTCTCCTCCCTCTACCCTTCTCCTTCCTCTACTCTTCTCCTCCCTCTACCCTTCTCCTCCCTCTACCCTTCTCCTTCCTCTACTCCCCTTCTCCCCCTACCCTTCTCCACCCTCTACCCTTCTCCTCCCTCTACCCTTCTTCTCCCTCTATCCTTCAACTCCCTCTACCCTGCTCCTCCCTCTACCCTTCTCCACCCTCTACTCTTCTCNCCCCCCCCACTCTCTCTAACCCCTCAGACACAATTTTGAGATAAATATTTGTTTACATTGTTATTGAAGCTGGAGACATCTCTTCTATTCCCATTCCTTTAAATGGACCAAATAATACCGTATCAAGTGAGCTAGGGGGAAACAAGACCAATGGGGTTTACATCTACACAAATTCAGACTTGACAAAACCCTGACTTCAGAACTTACAGAAAATGGCTGCAGGGCTTCGTATTTTTAGCTAATATCATACTTTTGTTTATATTCGGTTCATGGGCACTACTTAGGGTTGTTAATCGTTTTTGTAAACGATCGTTAAACGATCGTTAAACGTTCGTTTTTTGTTTCGTTTTCAAAAAAGATCGTTTCGTTTTCGGAAAAAAACGATCGTTTTCAAAAACGACCCACTCATTTTGAACTTTTAGAAAACGAATAACGATCGTTTTTTAAAACTATAGTTTTTACTAAAACGATTTGTGACCGTTTTTCATACGATTGTTTAAAAAAATTTATTGACAATTATGTTAACGATCGTTAACGAAATAACGAACTTCGTCAAAACGGTCGTTTTTGAAAAAAAATTACATGCACTTTATTGAATGTCTTACATGAA